CAAATCTGACTTCGTATGAAGAAGTTATGAGATTTTAAACAGACCAATCATGTCCCGACCTGTTAAAAATATAACTTTAAAAATAAAGTCAAAATTAGCCGACGGAGTCTAAACAAAAGTTGTAGAGTACGTCCCCACCTACGCGTGGATATAAAGAACGTCAAAAACGGAGTTCGTATGAACGAGTTACAAATTATAATAGCATATTTACGTATTAAAATAAAGTATAAATCTTGTATACGTACACACACATATAATATATATATATATATATATATATATATATATATATATACATATGTATATATCATTAGAAAGGTATCGACGATGCGGTCATTATAAGACTAATGTTGAGTTCTTTCGACATTAGTTTAGTACAAATATCATTAAATCCATTTAAAATAGTATTATAGAGGGGTGTTTAGTTGTTTATATAACTAAAATGTCATTAAGTAATTATGGATGGTAGTTTTTGAAAATTCAATTAGTATAAATAAGAGCCTTGGGCTCTCATATTTCTTGCACCATTCTCTTGATTCAAGAGTCTTTCTCTCCTTATCCCCCGAGCATTTCGGTCCCTCGTGATTCGACTTCTCTTTCTGTAGTTTAGTATAGTAAGGTGAGCGCTGAAGCGCTGCACGAATCTTTCTTAGAAAGATTCAGCGACGAAGTTCTGCCCCTGCAGAGCCCGACTCCTAGCTAAAACCCCCTTGTAAGTAAGTTATGCTTACCTTATTTTAATATAGCTTATATTTAAAATTAGTATTATTATTATGAACTTATAATAAATACTTGGGCTATTATTATGGGTTATATAAGTATTTTTTTTAACGCTTATATAATAATAATAATAGCTAGACTATTAATTAGTCTCGGCGAATAATACACTAAACTCTAGTGGTAATAATACTAGGTTTCGTCGAAGAAAATTCTATTTAAGAAGCGAAGCGCTGTCTGAGTTCGGAATCACCACCTTTTCAAGTGAGTGTATAGTTACTTTCAACTTACACATAGATATGAAGTATTTTATATAAATTACGTGCTATGTGTGCATATTATCTGAATACTTGCTAGCTATGCTAGATGAACGTTGTTATACATGTTTTCAATGATTTAAACTGTATATGTATTTTATATCTACGAAAATGTTGGGGTAAAACATGGGTAGATGTAATAGGTGATGTGTGATAAAATGATGAGAGGCCTCGATGTTGTTGTTGTTGATCCAGTCATCTAGCGGAGTATAGATGACGACCACAGACTGTTCTAGACAGTCCAGTGGAACACTAGCAGACTCGCAACCTGTAGGTGTTTATTTGAACTGTGTGTTTATTTGAACTGTGTGCTCACCAGATGTACTCCATCCCCCACATGGTTACCTATTAGGACATTTATTGCTGAGGAATCTCCTTAGCAGTAGTGTCCGTCCCGATGATGATCCTTAGGCTAGGTCCCTTATGATAGGTGTTTAGGGACGTCAAGTGAGGATAACGGGAACGGGTAATCGGGTTATTGTTGATTGATGAAATTAATAAACTTATTTATTGTGGGTTGAAAACCCTATGTGCTCACCAGGCTCCCAAGCCTGACCCACTCAGTTTTATGTATTACAGGTAGTGGCGCATGAGCATAGGTGTGATGTTTTGGACGAGGGATTACGGATATAGGCCTGTAGATATTAAATAATGTAGTAAGGCTTATATTGTACTGTTTATACTTTTGATCTGTACGAACATGACATCCCGAGTCTTTTAATGAAATACATTTCTATGGAAATGCTTTTGATAAATCTTTATCATATTATTGTTTTGGGACAAAATTCCGCAACCCTTTTATTAAAAGATAACTCTGATTTTGAAATAAAGTATAAACAAAACCGGTCTTTTCTGGCCGTGATTTTGGGGATGTCACAGGAATCATCTTGACGGCCCACTAGAAGTTTGAGGCATGATCATTTGGATCTCCAGTACCAATATACATCTTACTTTGGGCCTTTTGAGCCCCCACCGGGATTGGCGTTTCATTGATATCGTCTATGAGTGGATTCCTGAAGCTAACGTTATCAAAGGCTTTATTGTATTCTCTAACTTCTACAACACTTTGTGGCATCTTTTTCATTGGTTCATTCTTCGCTCTCCCTACAGTTCACCTTTGTCGTGATTTCGTCGATTCTTTCCTGCTTTGCATTTAGAATTGCTTGAACTATATCTATGAATGGACATAAGTTCCCAATCTTTCTCTATATGTGCATTCTAATTTTCCTTTTCTACTCGTCGTTTTTTCATGGCCTTATACCTTTTAAAGGCTTTGTATTCTTCCATTTCTTGTTCTTTGGTTGTGAGTTCCACTTCGTTTCCCATAGATTGAATTTTTCGGACCGGAAGGTGTCACCATGCTTCAATTTTTTTACTATTGTTGCTACTTAAGGTGTGTCTGTAGGAACTTCTAAAGATTGCATTCTCAGAATCGAACAAGAGTCGTCGATTGGATCACTACCAGTGACCATTTGTTGCGTGGTCCCATGGATGGCGACACTTGATGCAACTCTTATTCTCCAGATCTATTAGCAAGTTCAAGCCTGGATATCTTGAAGTGTGTAACGCTAAGTTTTTGGCATGTTGTTCTTAAAGTGTCATTATTTAAGTTTTGGAAATTTTGTGGCCACGACGTTGTAACACCCATACAATTTATGAAAAATTTAAACTTTTTAAAACCAACCAGAAATCATATTTGTTTACAACCTAGTTTTCAAAACATGTTTAATATCATAGTTTTTCCAAAATCATAACACAAAACACGAGGAGGTGCACGATCAAGCCTTCGCCTTCCCGTGATCGTCTGAGGTATCTGAAACATAACCCAAAACTGTAAGCCTAAATCTTAGTTAGTTTCCCCCAAAATATCGATACAAAACAAATAACACAAATATAATGATAGCATGCAATGTGTCCACAACTAACAGACTGGATTACCCCTGAGCCCAAAACATAAGTCTGGCTTTCCCTATGGGCCCACATCTTATGTATGGCTTGCTCCCCGACCTGATCAGTCATCGAACTGAATACTACTAATCCCTCAGTATGAGTCTAGCATGCCCTTCCTGACTCTCAGCTCGTATATGGAATGCTCATGAGTCCTCAGTATGAGTCTGACATGCCTTCCCTGGCCCTCAGCTCATATCTGGCATACTAATAGGTTTGTTGGCCTACCGCCTCAACCGCACCGCTCTTCTCGAGCTTCCGTGCCTACAACTTACAGCCGACCAACACCGAGTATCTTGGCCTATCACACAAACCAGGACCGCCTCAACCCAAACCAAACACAAAATGTCGACATATAAACAATCAGGATAAAGTAGGCACATAATACATGAAAACAGTAATCATACAACTCACTACTACCCACTAATCCTCTCACAACATACAGTCCCACTACCAGCTACCCCCATAGAATGTGTAACCATACTGTAGCCAAAGATGAGATAGCCACCCAAACATATGGTCCTACTCTAGAGCCACAACCAAACAAGGAACATACAAGAGAAACTAGACCATGGTTCTCAGGCTATCCTACATGACCACAGACGGTCCATAAGGGCACTCCATAGATGATAATTAGCAAGCACATATAACATACAGTTCTATAGGTTGTTACCACAAAGCTACATACTCAATACCAGGAGACATATCTAACAGATCATTACAACATAACAACTTAATCAATACCAGCACACAGATCTCACAGATCACTATAGCATAACAACATACTAAATATCAACAATCCAAGGAATGTATGGCTGTATATACTCAGAGGTGAGATAATCACCCGGACAGGTGATCCTACTCTAGAATCACAACCAAACAAGGAACATGTAAGAGGGTTTAGATCAAGAGTCCTTAGTATATCCTACATGACTATATACAGTCCCTAGGACATCCTTCTACTAATAGATAACCAAAACTAGTGGGCCAACATTGGTGCCTTCGACCCGTGGGTACAGTGAGGCGAAACTCACCTCAATATGCGCATAGATAATCACCATAGTGACGAAGAACTCTACCAGCTTCGACTCACTTCCAATCACCTATAGGAAGATGCTTGAGTTAATACCCGATAGTCACTTGCAACAGTGACCACCTCACATGAAATGACAATTAGGGTTTCACATAAAATGACGATTAGGGTTAAGTAAGAACACTTAATCCATTAAGGACTTAATCACTTAAAGGTGTGGTTGATTAAGGTTTGACTTAGTCATTCTCGGGTGAAATAATAATCCAATCAACAGCCCAAATACGTGCCCGATCAATTTCCAAAATAAAGCTTCCTGATTCTAGGATTTCCACATAAAATGATAACTAGGGTTAGTGTTCCACACGTAACCCGTTAAGGACTTAATCCATTAATTCCAACATTGCATTAAGTTAATTGTAGATAATTATTAAGTATTATTTTAAGTTCAATTAATAGTTTTAATGCGAGCCTCCACTAACTCCAAAAACTAAGGTTTCTTGACATTAGGGTTTTCTAAACCCTAATTAAGGTTTCCAACCCAAACATGTGCCACTCGGATTAAAGTTAATTGTTTATATAATTTGGTGCTTAATAGGTCGAGCACCACCCATTGCCACCTCGGGCAGTGGTGGACAACGACGGTCCATGGCGGCAACCGCCATTTTTAATGGTGGTGGTGGTGGTGGTGGTGGGTTTCCTTCAATTCTTCGGCTAAGAAATGCTCATACAATCTCAAACCATTAAACACACACATAAACACTATAACACACACAACCACCACTTATGGTGGCTAATGGCGGTAGAAAGAGCAGAAATGGCGGCAACCACCATGGTTGGCTGCCATGGTGGTCTTCTTGTTCTCCGGCTAACAACACACGCCAAACATACTGAAACACGCACACATACACGAGCAAAAACACCCACCACGCTTGTACTTTGGTCTTAGAGGAGGAGGACAACGGAGGGGCAACGAAAGTAATGACATAATGAAGCATCGGCAAACGGAAGAAACAAGGAAGAATGTGTGCGATCCAACCGCGAAAAGCAGCAACAATGACCACAACGATTCCGATCTCCCTGACCGACACGATGTCGGTCTTACGGATCTTGTCTTCGCCGACAACAGGAATAACGACGGTTGCTCGACTCGGTTGGTGGCTTACGGCGATGATAAGAAGGTAGCGGCGGATGGAAGTTGGAGGGGTGATAAGGTGGTGGCTGGTGATGTTAGTGTTACGGTTTCGATTTACATGAACCTTAAAAATGGGAGGGGAAAAGGACGGGTTCAAATCCTATGTTCAAATAAAACTTTGATACATTTTTACAAGTTTGGTCCCTGACTTTACATATTAGTTTAGATAAGGTCTAATATTTACACTACAACCCCTGCTTTACAAAATTCCTTACGTTTCAAGTCTGCATGTTACAATTTTGACCCTATATACTAGAAAATATAACTTTTAATACCCAATGTGTACACCCTGCTAATTTAATACGACTTAGGGATAAAATAAAATATAAAAAAAAATACATCTCAGGGTTTTAGGGATTATTATTTATTCATTTAATTATTATTATTTTTTTTATTAAAAGGGAATGTTACAATTCTCCCCCACTTAAATTAGATTTCATCCTCGAAATCAGCTTCCGCTTCTACTTCATGATGCACTCCCCCACAATGACCAAGACGACCAAAAATTTGCAGTATCAATTGGTCTCCGAGCTTCTCAGCTAAACACCAACACTCTACTCCTGCACCAAAAGGGCATCACTGCAATGAAAATTAACTGATCTCCTATTGAACTGAACCACACTCTTACTCTGATTCAATAGCCCAAATGAGTTATCCACCGTCAACAATAAGGCTTACCCGTGATCAGACGATAACAGACAAGCAAACCCTCAACCTGAGCTCCTAACACCTTAGGGCCTAAGCACAAGCACGTCCTATGGACGTTATCACGACTAAAATAAATACGAATCGAAGGGAAAATCCTACAGCTGATTGTGATCTTGTCGCGAAACTCGAATATTTAGCAATTACGCAGAAGTTTGGAACTTAGAGAAATCTGACTGAGAACCGAACCTTGGTACAAAGTCTCCCTGCCACGAGGTTCCACTCACCCCTACTTGAAATATGCTAGAAATTGAGAACTACATAGTCCTTCGAAACCAAGAGTAACTCAAACTCTGCCTCTCGTTTCCAACCCCTGATATCTTGATACATGGTAGGATCTGAATCCACAAATCATTCATACATTCCAAAACACATATAATCAAGGATAAAGATAATCAATCCATTCATACTAAGAATTCAATCAGAATAGAGCTAATAACATAATTCCATTCAACTAATCATCTAAGATTACATCTGAACCTCGAAACAAAAAAAATTACAGATAAATACCAATACTACCACAACATCTAACTAGAAGAACTACCAACTTAAGTCTCGGTCATCGGGACCCCCACGGTCCCCTGACGACCATCGGGTAACTGCCAAGCTAAGGGTGTAGGATCCCACACCTTTTTGAGAAACGGACAGTGAGCTCTAATGTGGCCTTCCTGACACAATGAAAACTAACTCGCACACTCTTCCTGCAGTCTCTACCAAAATCGCCCTCCTCGCCACACTAACGACATGGAACAGATCTGTGTCTCCCTCCAACTGATCTTGAACTCTGGCCGACAGACTTAAACCGCTTCGCTGCAGGCTGGGACTGATCCGGAGCCTAATACTGCTCCCTCTCCTGTGTCCCTATCTCAATCTCTCGCCTCCTCGTGGCATCCTGAAGCTCATCGAGAGAACCATAACGCTGGATGGACACGAATTATTGAATATTTGTCTTAAGCATGCTCAAATACCGAGTCATCTGAGCCTGCTCTGTAGCAGTGAACTTAGGACTGAACAAAGCCCTCTTAGTGAACATCTTGGTGATCTCCGTCATCGACTTGGTTGTCTGTCTCAGATCCAGAAACTCATGTGCCAGTCTCTCCCTCTCTACCAGGGGAACATACCTTGCACGTAACATCTCCGAGAACTATTCCCAAGTTTTCGCACCCCCTACTAAGGAGTATAAGAACTAGTCACCAATCTCCACCGATCCCTTGCCCCCAACCTAAGAAGGTTTAGGGCGCACTTGACCTTCTGGTTATCTGGACAAGAACACGTAAAGAAACAACCCTCCATGTCAAACAAACATCTCATCGCCTGACTACCTTACTTGACTTTGTCCCTAAAAGCATGTTTTCCGTATGCATCAAGTCTCATGTTCTGCTGAAACATTGAGCATAACCCAATGACTTACCCTGATTGCATAGTCATCAGTGTAATAGTTACTTGTATGGTCTTTAAATGCCAAAGGGTTATTCATGTCCCTGACCTCCTAATCTGAGGTATGACATAGTACCATAATGAATTGACAGTGAATCTTTGATTCTAGATTGTAACTAACTCTATGATGTAAGGATTAAACCATTTCTTGCTGATGAGTTATCACTGTTGATGATTCACGCTGATTCCACCTCAGTATGACTGAAACAATTCATTTTCTTCTTACTTTCATCTTTAAAGCCTTATGATTCAGCGTAGTGTACCATACGCCGATGAGAGCTTGAAAAATTTATGTCGATGGTTAAGCTAAAACACCACAACTTATCACATGTATCATACCACTCTTGCCATTTTTCTTCTAATAAAAGTAATTAATGATATTTTTCCATTTGATGAATTTTAAAATGGTTTAATATTTTAAAAAAGAAAACATTATACCTTTTAACCCATACAAAGGGTGTTTATAGTTTGAGACTTTAGAGGCGTGGATTAAAGAACATAAAAAGGAGAAGTGATGCGTCGTAGATATTGTTTCAAAGAGATGGATACATTTTTTAGAGCAAAAGATGTATTTTAGGAAACTTTAATAGTTCAGATGCTTTTCAAATGTTGACCGATTATGAGAAATACTTAATGATTCATAGGTAATTTTATCCTTGCCAGTTGCCAAGCGCTATGATTTTTTAGTCATTCATAGACTAACTTTTTATTGAATTACTAGAATGCTTATAAAAGACTCAATAACTCAGAATAGAAAAGTAACATATCCTTTTAAGTCATATATATATATATATATATATATATATATATATATATATATATATATATATATATATATATATATATATATATATATATATATATATATATATAACAATTTTTGCCATAAATAATAACTTATGCTTTAAAAAATTATACAATATTACAAAAAACCTTTAAACTTGTGCATATGATAAATTTTTTTAGCTCCCTAGTGATAAGTCGTATTTGATGAAATCATTTAGATCGTTACATATGAGGTTGGGTTGAGTTTCTTTTTAATCCACGTGTCTTGCTATAAGTCCGAGAACCCATTATTATCCGTAAGCAGAATCACACCCGATTACGATCATCAAGTTTGACCAATCATTCTCAATAGTCCCCACAATATCTGCATAGGTCCACGTGACAATAACGACAAACTTCCTTTTATTGAAAATTACGACACTGCCACCATGCCTGCTCTGCTCTGCATGTACTTTGCTTAACAGTACCTTCGGAGCACTGTATCTTTTCCTGCTCTTCCTCTCCAACACTCTATCCGTACAATTTCAATAAATTCAAAACCCTAAATACTCGCAATTTCCATCGTCTCCGAACAATCAAAACAATTCTCCCTTCCGTTGCACGTTTTCCGATCAGAATCGAAGGTAACATCATCCAAATATCTTCAATTTGCATCTAGATTTCTTGTTCTTGTTGATTTTTTCGATGTCAGTTTACTTCGTTCTGTTGAAATTTGTATTTGATGTCATCGATATGAGTTTTGCAGTTCATGTATCATTAATGTGTGTTTGATCATCGTGTGTGTCGATTGATTAAAGTCTCTGTGATCAAGAAATGACATGGCTATTTAAAAATTTCCTATTGTGTCCGGGGTTTTGGGTTGCGGCCTGGATTCTGGAAGGGGGGAGGGGATTACTACTAATTTATTTGTCGGTTCTACTGGATTTTGACACTTAAGCTTTATCCTTTAGCAAATATCTTTGTAGAGTCTCTGTAATTACCTCATACTTCTCGTGATATCTTGATTCATTTGATTTCTGATTTATGGAATATCAAATTTTCCATTAATGTTCTTGTTAGAATCTGATTGATTACCATACCTGACCTTGTTGGTAGTGACTTCCATTACTAATCCAAACAACAATTTGTTACTTGTTTTTCATTTCCCCCTTTTTCCTTTTCTAATGCAATCCTTCCATCCTCTTCAAACTGTTACAATGGGATCTGGATTCTATACATTTTTTATATCTTCTATTTATTAAAGTCAAAACAACATACTGTGAGGACTATTGTAGCACAAGGTATTTTCTATCGTTTTAGTTTTCATGCTACTCTGATGAATTTTTTGGACATCTGCTAGATTACCTCTTGATGTGGTAGGATGAACGATCATAATTTTGACATCACTTAAATGAAGGTTAATTAGAGCTTGCTTTAACTGTATTTCAGATACCTGTCTCCAGAACTATGGATGGCCTTTGGGACCCACCTGATTATCAAGGTTTCCATATATTTTCCTTCAACGTTCATTCTATTATCTCTCTAAATCTCAAATTTATAAGAGAGATCACTAAATGTCTTATGTCATTTTGTTATTGCTTTCAGCAATTGAAGACACTGATTGCAGAAATGATGGATGCCAGTGTGCATTTTGTCTTGCTAATGGTAATTCACTGTCAAATTACTTCACTTTTTACTTATTTATTTATGTTAGTTTCATGTTACAAACTTCTTCACTGAACCTGTAGATGTGGCAGAAGAGGCGGCTGTAAATGAGATAAGTTGCATAGAGGTGCTAAGGATTTTGATAAGCAAAGCAGATACTGACATCATTGAGCTTGAAGATGAACTTATGGACTTACTGAGTCAACTCGCCTGCACTGATGAAGAGTTTTCAAATATGTATTCTATGTGCTTGCGAAAGGAGATTGATTTTCTTGATCGATCAATAAGGAAATTAAAGGATGATGCTGGAGATTATTTGTCAACAACAACCAGGAAACCAGCTGAAAGCATGCTTGATATGCTCATGTCTCTTTTCCATCGTTACATACAAAAGAAAGATAAACAGGTCTAGTATTTGGACACTACCAGATCCCTCTCTCTCTCTCTCTCTCTCATGTTATATAGTACAGATAAAGCAGATATACAAACAATAAAGTATAAAGCAGATATTTAAACAATAAAGCATATGCAAGTGCAATGCCATGCTTAATCTTTCAAGATATATGTTAAAAGGTATAAAGTAGTTGTTGAAGTGTTTGTGGGGTCCACTTTTGAAAGACTACTAGTACTGCCTGTATATCTGCTTTATGCTTTATTCATTATTGTCAGTATACTTGGTTGACAATGCATATTACTCTTATCTTAACCTATATTTTATGCCATAAGATACATATCATATATGTAACAAATACTTCTCTAAAAGAGACAATCTCCTTTATGTTTTATTTTCCCTTTAAAATCAAAAGCTTGCAGATAATATCAAAAGTATTGCAAGCTCCAGCTGTCAAATGCATTCAGACATCCCGTTTAGTGAGAAAAAACAAACAGGAAGCTCTTCAAATGCTAATCAAATGGAGAAAAACAAAAAAGTCATCAACACTTCTTCATTGGAGAAACATAAAATTTCACAGACAAGAGTCAAGACTGAAGAAGTAGAAGATGTAAGTTATGTGGTGCTTAAATTTGTAAAACGTTTCAATAACATAAAATCGTACTATTCAAGTGTTTGTTTTTTGATGTGATACTTTTTATACAGTATAAGAGTCTTTCTCGGGGCTCCATGGAGAAGTGGGAATATCAGCTAGTTAAAATCAAGTCCCAGGTAGGTTTTTATTCTTAGATACAAAATTAAAGAATCTCATTGTATAATATAATATATATATATATTTTTATTAATATTCTATTGATTTGATTGCACCAGACTGATGATGAAAGTATAGGTTCCATAGAATCATCATCCATACCAAAGGCATATACAGACAGAAACTTGAATCCAGATGATCTCCAAGAACAAAATGTCTCAGTTTCTACCAAGATATACAAAAGGAGAGAGAAACTTAATGATTCACCATTAATGTTGCAGACAAGTTCAAGATCACCATGCCTATTAATTGAAGGTGCTGATGTGGCAAACAAGTGTATGGATTGTTATAAACTAGATGATTTGCGGGCTATTGCTAGGCAACGCGGATTAAGAGGTTACTCTAAACTTCGCAAAATAGAACTTGCACAGGCACTAGGAATCAAGATTGTTGAAGGTACCCTTTCTTTTATAATTTTTTTTTTATGAGATTATCATTATATACATATATGTTTTAATTTGATTTGAATGTAGGAAAAAGGAAGCAGAAAAGATAGGAGATGGTGGTGTGGTGAAACTGACATAGTTTGACTCATAGGTATGGCTGGTTGATGGTTGTTTATATACAAAGAGGGGTATATTATATAGAAGTGAAAGAATGAATCGGTATTAGAATTGACATGCTAGATATATATACTTGTTTTGATAGTGAACCCTATGGGAGATATAGTGATGTTGATAGTTGTTTACTGTTATTCTTGGTTGGTATATGGAGGTATTGCTTCTGTATTCTGCGTAAATATACACTAACATTTGCCATTTGGTAGATGTGGTAATACATACTTCTGTATTCAGAAAAAGTAAACTAATAACACCACATAGACCCATTAATAGTTTTTATAAAGAGAAAATAATCATATTTACAGTATCAGTTAAAGCCTTGATTTATAATTTTGTTGTCTAAATTAGTGGTGGATTTAGGAAAAAATCGAACTGGGTCCAATATTTTATAAAGTTTTCCTTCAAAAAATTTCGATACTTCCTCTTCCCTTTCCTTATTTGACAATTCTTCAAACTTGATTGAAATGAGGAGCTAGATCTTTATAATTTAAAAAATGAGCAGGTCTTATTTTTTGTCAATGGAATCTAGGGGTTAAATTTTCTTATGTTCACATTTTTTTATATAAGTTTTCGGATAAGAGTGCATGCTGAGTGGGATCCATGCCCCTCTCTTGGAGTGATGTAGATATTCCAAGGGTCTAGATGTTTGTGTTAATCCGTATAATTGTTCTTATTAGACCATTACAACAAGATAATGGATTTGAAACAAAACCCCTTTGGTATTTGACATCAAAGGTAAACCTAGAATATTTGGATGATGACATTATGCAAAAAGGATCAAATATGACCCACTAAATCATTTACAAAATATTTTAGTTTAAAATCAATAAAATACAATATCGCACAATCATATTTAATTAGAGTTTGAGTAGATAAAATGGGAAAACAATGTGGTGTCATATTTGTCTAAATGTCTGACGTGTCAATACAATGTCATATCAACCACAATTTGATAGCCTTGATTACCTCATTTGTATTGACCATGATATGAATTCAACAATTTCCTCATTCCAATGGAAATATATTATTGTTGTTACTAGTTATATCACACTAATAAGTTAATAAGGTTTTTTTGTAATGTTTGTCAAATCATGATTACTTAACAACTTAACATGATAAATGAGAAACAAACATTCTTATATCTTATTAGTTATTTGATAAATTAAGATAGCATAAGATACTTTTTCTAATACTTATAACACCACCCTAATCAAAATTATGTATCATTTAAACTTATAATAAAATTGCCACCTATAATTTCACGCATAATATTCTTTTAAGTTTTTTTTGGTTCCTCCCTTCCAAAGTTTGCCATGGAACCCTTGACAGATATGAGATTCCCATGAAAATATTCAAATTTGATCTTATTTGGTAATCAATCTTTTTTAAGCATTACATATCAACAAACTTTCAAAGTCGATGTCAAAAATGCTATTTTGACAACTGTGAAAGGGTCATCTGGTTACCTTACTCATGTGGCATGCCACATGGCTTTTTGGTCATCTGACCTAGTCCACGTGTCATTGACACGGTGTCCATATGAGTATTTCCTTTTAAAAATCAATTGTTTTAAATTTTAAAAATTAATTATTGATTTTAAAATCTATTACTATTGTTATGTTTAATGGTGTTCAAGATATGTAGAACACTGTCCATCTCCCACCTTCTTCAAGTTCACAAAAAGGGTTGCAATGTTGAAGAATACTGGTCCTGTCAATTGTCACCATCACATTCATGACCACACCAATAGTTTGTTGACCAAGAATGACATTAACCCTAAAGGAAGTTGAAGAATACAACAAAAATTGATGTAGATTGAGAATCAAATAATAGCCATCAACAATGGGACAAACACGTGATCCAAGTCAGTAAACAAACATTACTTCTAATAAATTAAGATGAATAGAAAAAGATACGAATGTGTTCAACTTAACTTTTGAAAGTACACTCCCATGCTCGAAAGCTTTAAAGCTATATATAATATATATGTAAATAATTTCCCATAAGTTGTTACAGAAACCGTTTACATAAAAATCTTATAAGCAGTTACGGCTGGCCAAGAAGTGATGGTTTGTAGAACGCATGACTCTGAGCGATCTCGATTCTTTCACGAGGATCATTCAAGTTTTCATCTCTCAATGCCTGAAGAATTGCTCGAGGACCTTGTTCCCTGAACAAGTGAAAAAAATAACAAAATACTTTTTTTTAGTTGTTCGTTATAGTTTCTTAAACAAAACTACACATTGCTATTTCTTACATCTAACACAAAAATGTACAAAGTAAAGAAAACCATCACCTCTTTATGAGTATTTTATAGAGTGTTTTCAATATTGGGCATAGCTCGACTGGTGCTACTGGTTTCTTTTCGTTAGGATGCAAAACACTTAAACTTGATTGACTCAGAAGTTCAAAAAATGCTCCAACCGCAGACACTCCCTGAAAAGAAAAAAGCCTAATAAGTTTCTAAGCTCTTGCTAAAGGGGTAAAGACAGTAAATTTATATTGAGATTGCCAAAATTAGTAAAATACTACCTGGATCATCCCTTTACCACTGATGCTATCACCCATATCTAGGCTCAATTCTCCCTTAGCAATCATTTGACCATACCATGCATTACGTCCTTTTAAAAGTGTCACATAAGTGTCAGCAAGCAACGGGCCCGCAAGCTTTTCGGGCTCTTTTGTCAACAAATGAGTGATAAAAATCATCTCCGATGTACAATGTGCAAAGTACACGGATTTGCTTGTCGCACTTTCGTTAGTTAGGGCCGCCACCATTCCTATACACATCAAGAAAAAAATTAACAGTGTTACGTCAGCCACCTAGCAGACTGTTGTGTACTTGATTTACATCTGACATGATGTTGCTGATAGGATATAGTGTGGGTCAACTCAGGGTTTGCTGAGAGAATAACCCTTTTGCATAAACTTTATTTTGAATTGAGTGCAATAATGGGAATTTAAGTAACAAAGAAGGAAGATAAAATCATACCGGCTCCAATTGCATAGACGTTTTTTAAACCTCCCATGACTTCATGTGTGACAAGGTCACTATTGTCCCATACGATGAAATGTGGTTGCCTTAGAAATTTTGCAAGTGGGACCCTCCACTTTTCGGCCCCACAAATTCGAGCATTTGCATACTCCTTGTTGTAAATCTCAGAAGCAATGTTCGGGCCACCAAGATATAAAATATTCTCTAGGGGTACCCCCGCTACAACAACAAAAAAAAATATACAGCAAAATGATGATTTATTAATTATTAGCAACAATATCTATTTTAATTCCAACACTCACCATAAATATAATATCAATAAACATGTATTCAATTTTTTAATAACTAATACTACATATATATTTTATGTTAATCAAAACTTGCTAAAATTAAAATGACAACTTTTTAATGTACGCCAAAAGTTTTAACTATCACACTCAATATTGGAATCGTCTTAAAGCTCTCGATCAGATTTTCTTTAATGATTATATTATATACCAATTAGTTTTCTACTTTTTATGTTACATATATTAAGATTTAATGTGTAGAAAATAAGTTTGGCGTTTTTGGTATAAAAGTGAATATTATAAGTTTATATCAACATTTGTGTGTGTTACTGTTCACGAACATGGTGTGCTTTTGGAGTATTGTTGGAGTACATTTCAACACCAAAAACAACATTTTTGTGCAATGATCGGAGTTATAGTTTGAATAATCATAATCAGATAATCAAGAAACAAGATCATGATTAAGTAAAAAGAAAAAAAAAAAAAAATCCTTACTTGCTCTATTGATCATTTGCGTGGGTGTAATTATGTGAGGAACAGGATCTAAAGCAGCTTCAATACCCTTCGATAATGACACAATAATCGGTGGGCTGATTCGCTCTTTCCAATAATTACTAATTTCTTCAAAAACTTCACGAGTTTCAGTCGATGGAACACCATTCACCACAATATCAGCATCCCAAACAGCTTCCTGCAAATTAGTCACAACTTTCATGGGACTAAGTGGCGTATCGATCATATTCAAACAAAACCCGTCTTTCAGAATCTCGTCTGCATAAAGAACTCGATCTCCTAATCGAGCTTCAACATATTTCAAATACGCACATCGCCTGATTAATCTTCTTAACACGTCTTCTCTTGAATTGATCACTTCAAATAAGAGTTTTGCTGTTTCCCGATCGACTGCCCGACCTGCCCGTCTCCATATCCGGATTTGAACTTTGTCACGAAACTTTCCGTAGGTATCTTGAAGTAAAGCTGCAAAAACACTTCCCCATGCACCTGCCCCAACTCCGACTATTTTGAGTAAATCATCATCGGATTTACCAAGAACTCTTCGGAATTCATCTAGTTTTTCCTCTAAACTATTATGATTTGAAATCGACCCGTTTTGGAATAGACTGGAAGTCATCACTTCAATGTTACCAACCATGATATCTTCCGAGAAAACAAGATGGTTTTGATTCGAATATGCAATTTTAGATCAAATGAGTTAACACTCGCCTCTGAATTTAATGAATGCACCAGATAAAATGGAAAATTTCTCACGAATTGCAGAGTTTTTAGGTAACTTGTATATTTATCATCTACACTAGAGTTTTGGGTGAAGAACGTAAAACTTTAATGAAAGAAAAGCAGACAAACTTTACTGGTAGGAATTGTACCTAAATCAGAGCTACCTTTTTGGTGTGTCATCTATAATAAGGATGAAAAGTGAAGCATGAAGAACCCTAATTCGAAAAAGTTTAAATTTATATGGAAATTGCTTTGTAAACTCAGTCAAAAGTTTGTTCATCTACCCAGCAACAAAAAAATATTTTATAAATCTGAAGAACGATAAAATAAAGGGTCAAGATAATGAGAACCTTTTTGAGTGTGGGATACTACAAAGTTTGAAGAATTGTATATGTCAGTCAAAATTCTTCAAGGAAAATCAAAACCGACAACCGCAAAGGATTTTGATTGATCACAGTCACAGATTCAAAGGGGGCCGGCGATCGGCATTGGTAATTGTAGAGAGAGAAAGTGTGTGGGGGGAGAGACTAGAGAGAATGAGAGAGGAAAAACGATTGTACTGAAGCAGAAATTGGGGAAAATCAGAAACGTGAAAACAGAGTTTGATAATGGAGAGTGAAGAAGGGCATTGATGTTGATAAAGGGGTGGGTGTGGGTGCCAAATCTTCCACATTAATGCTTTGGAGAATGGGGTTTGTGCTGCCAGCTTCAGCAACGGCCATTAATATGTGGGAAGTTGGCAGTTGAAGG